CTTAATGTTCAAATTAACTTATCAGATGTCGGTTACATGATAAAACGATCACGTAAAAGAGGTCGGTTTTCAAGAAGCTGTTAATCGTGTTATTACCGTTCAGATTTTCGCCTTTCTGTTTCTTTTAGTGAAGCGCTTGGCCTAGTAAATTACGTATCAATATACCCTTCCAAGCTCTGAATAAGGCGATACTGCCGAAACGTTTGCTACTGCGTGTTTTGTACGAAAGTAAACGTGTACTGTATGGCAACTTCGCGATTGCTGAAAAGGAGAACGCAATATTTTTAATGTATAACCTTTTATTTGCGCCCACTACTTTTTCACGACAGGGCATGATGTGAAAAAATGCAACCACTATGACGTTGATGTCCTCGCAAAACTTGGACTCTAGGTCAAATTTGCTCGCAGTTACCCTCCGGGAGTTCATTTGTTGCTCACTGCAGACTGAGGCCCTTGCTTTACCTTCTATCAGTCAGTTTTTCAACACAATGGTGCTAAAAGCAATCACCTTTCAAGAGGGGATGGAGATGGGGTGGGTAGGGAGATGGTCCAAGTTTCGCAAATATTGCAACATCATAGTGGTGGTACAAACAGCATTTTTGCTGTTTTTACCGCACAATAATCAATCATTAATAGTACTATCACCTACTCGAACTATGACATCCATCGCTAGTATGTCCTAAATAAATCAGCAATGCATGAAAACTAAGAAACTGATCCCACATGTATCAATAGCATTGTAATTCTATAAATAACTGAGTGACTCAAAGAAGCATTGTGAAACTGGAAATTCCCTTAGCCTTTACTACGAGCAGCAGCTACCTGACAGGTTCTGTTGGGGTGCGGAACACTGAGTGATCCAGGATTTTCTTATGACGAGCAGCAAAATTACTGTTTGGGAGATAGAGGGATGAAAGGACAAAGCTCTTGGCGTTTATTAATCCGTGGGGAATGCGCCATGTATTCGATTTCAATAAGCATCGTTGGAAGTGGTCGAATGCATATCTTACCTTTATAAGGGATCGCAGTGGCCTGTGAAGATATGTTAACCCACTGCTGCTATCTCCCAAACAAGTCCGCCACCAAATTGCCGACCGCGGAGCGATGGAGGGCTTGGTGAGCCTAAATCGCTGAGATCTATCCCATGTGTGTTGCAAGGCGCCTCCGACAACCGCGCTACGCGCACCCTAAGCGTTTGATAGATACCTATGAGCAGTTCGATGGACGCCGACGTGGAGGCAGAAAATAAGCAAGATAATTCACTGCAGTAAGGACAAGGAGCCCATTTACTGAATTCAAGGAAGCTTTTGTTTACAGTTAATTTTCTATCTATCTAGGTGAACACGTGCGTTTAGCGCTGTGGCAGTAATTAGAAGTGCTCTGAAATAGCGGCTGAATCGATCGCTAGCTCGACTCCTCTTCTTGTGCTCACAAGGCGCCCACCATCTCTTGTATGGTAGGAGATCGACGCTGGTATGATGAATTTAGTCACCTCTACGATGCTTGGTGAATTTGAATGTATGACAACCCTTCAGAGATTGATCAAAACCAAGCGCTGCATTCTTTTATCTTTCTCTGTCACCTAGGCACGCGACGCGTGGCTAACAGGCTCGAGATTAATCTCGTGAGGTGCAGTTACGGAATATATTTAAAGTACCATTAATCACCGAGGGAACACCACTAAAGTCTATTCTCTATCGCGTACAGGCGTACTCGGTGTGAAGAGCTCGCAGAGCGGAACAAATAGTGCCACATTTTTGCCACTAAGCGCTTTAATATTGCTTTCTCTTAACCCTTTTATTGCTGATGGCAAAAGATCAATAGAACTAGCTGAGAGACAGGCAAAGCGAAGGACCCGGATGGTGTGGTGGTGAAGTGCGCTACTCCCCGGAAAAGAGAATAGTGCGCGTTCGTTCCTCACCGCATACACCTGCAGTCCGAAGTTTTGCAAATATCTCAGCATTATATACGAGTAATATTGCTCTCGCTGTTTTTTTTTTCGATGAGCAAAGGCGTGGTTGTTAGTCCATTCTTTATTGAAAAATAAGCTGACATTTCGGCGCATTTCGCTTTCTTCTAAACATAGAAAGTCCATTTGACTGTAATCTGACCAAAACACCTCCATAACCAAAACGTGGAAGACACAAAACCAAGATTTCAATCGCGCTGAAAACAAGGTAACTTCTTCGCACACTCGCCTCTTTCAAGTTTTCCACCGAGTATTTTACGTGAAAACCAACCGCACAGAGTTCACATGGAAGCGTAATGTGCCTCTCACATTAAAACAACGGTCTTAAATATTGTGCACGAACACGCGTGGTAGACGAGGTATTCCTCCTCGTGGATCATTTTCGTTTTCTTAGAGGAGATTTCTCAGGCGAGATTGTGTTTGGGTGATGTTGACTGAGCAACAGCTATGTATCGTCAATGTGCACTGCAAATCATGTTCCGTTATTCATCTTCTTTATGCCACATTGATTTTAGTTGATCGATGAGAAAGTAGCCTTCTTCACTTTTATAAGTCGCCTTCCATTTAACCTCGATCAGAAGAAGAATGAAAATTTCTCGGTATACCCCAGCATCTAAATAAATATGTCGAATATGCATGCTGAGGTTAAGAAGCCGGCTTCGAAAAGTATTAATTCGCCTGTGCTAGCAAATTTAATACCGATGATGCATGATGGATTGTCCTAAGAAAAGAATAAATATCAGTGGACTATTAGTTAGACAGTAACCATTTTGTAAGAAAGGGATCTGCCGGGTGAGGTTATCTCGTTCAAGTGGTATTCCACTTCAGAAGATCCAATTCGATATGGCAACGAAGGCCCACATCGTTACGACGAACGGTTGTGAACAATCAGTTAGCATCACTGCAGCTCTGGAGATGTTGAACGTGTCGAAATCTTAGCCAAGTAAAAATTCGAAATCGAAACAGCCTCGAGTAAGGTGAACAGTGTAAAGGAATATCATTCTTCCGTTTTTCATCTCGGATTTGATGTTAAGCGATGAGTCCTTCCCATTGCTTTGTGAAGTATATGTGAGCCATCCACCCATCTACCAATAGACCTAGCCGTGCAGTTTCTTCATTCGTAAAAAGACGCCGACTGACTGTAGAGCTTAGACTTATATAGTCATCTATTTTGTCGTAATCGCACATTCATGAAAATTCGAAGTCAGAAGCGAAAAATGAAAAATCCTAGCCCGCCTTTGTGAGATTTTCTACCCTACAGGAATAAAATGGCTCTCTCATTGTCATCTTTCTCCTCAGATTTCTATGTGCTATGAATTTCGAAGTGTTTTGCGCGTTTTTTACATTCTTTTAAAATTCATCCTCGTGAAATTTACAAAAGCATTTTGCAATAACTATTCATTGCGAGCATTTCTCTTATACACCACTTTGAGCACATTTCTTTCTTAACAATCTTCCATGTTTTCTTTTCTACGTTCACATTTTCCGAAGTCTTATTCTACAATTATTTTGAACTGGTTGCTTTTAATGCTGAAATAATGCTCTTAATCAGAAAACTTGCATCACACGATAACGTTAGCAACTCGGAAAGTCATGGAAACATGCACAAAAGAAGGCTTCCGAATACGCCATGTACAAATGGTTCTTACGGATTCGAACCTGAAATTCCTCAGTTACGGAGCGGTGAGAATCATGGACCCCTGTCATCAGTTGACGACGACAATCTGAAGTTTAATCGAAGCTGCTTCTCCAAAAACTACTTGAGGAGTTGCTAAAGAACTCTCCATTCACAAGTGAACAATCGTTTGGAAGACAATGGAGGAGTTAAAAACTAAAATGAATAATGAATAGACTGAACGAATGGGAACGAGATTGTCGTTAGAAAATTGTTTTGCGCTCGCTTGCCTTAATGGCAAAAATCCTCAATTTCTCGATTACATTCTGACATGCGATTAAAAGTGGATTCTATCCGTCAAAAGAATGCGTTCAGTAGAAAGGATGGAAAGAGATGAAGTTCCTAAGACGGCTGCCATGAGTTTTTTTTTGTTTCAGTCAGATGGAACCAACTGATAATATACCTTGAACGATCACAACAAAGAAGTACTGTCACAAAATTAACTAAATTTTACAAGAATTGCAGCTCAAATGTCCAGAATTGGTTAAGACAGAATGTCCATTTTTGTTGAACAGCAATGCTGAACCACATGTTGAACAACAAAGGTTGCAAAAATTGAACAGGTCGACCGAAGAATTTCTTTATCAACAAAATCAAGCGACATACGCACCAACGACTCATCGCTCAATATTAGAGCCGAGGCGGAAACCTAACAAAGGGTAATTTCACCAAATAACTATTCGTTCACGGAAGATAACGAATATGAATAAGGCAACATGAAACGAAGTGCATATCGATGGCCCATGGTCATTCCTCAGTTAATAACGCCATCAACTTTATGTTCTCTATCACATATTTCTTCTGAATCTACCACCTGGGACTGAACTGGCCTGGTAGTAGTTGTTTATCGCCCCGTCATGAATGAAGAATGTTTTCGGATGCAGTACCGTGGCGGAACGTATATTTTCGATGGGGTTACAAAAGTTTATTCTGGCAGGGTTGTTTAGACCGACACAATTCTAAGCAAGAACGGGCAATCGTTATTCCGAAGCCAAATTCTGCTTTGAAGAAATGTTTAACTATCAGGGATTCAGCCGTATCCGAACTTGACCGGTATATCGGTGGGATAAGGGCGAATGGAAGATGTGGTGATAAATGGCAATATATGGAAACATAAAGACTTACACACAATACAACATACAAGACTTACACAAGACTGGAATATAATTCATGGAGTTATAGCATAAAGATCACAAATCGTGTTGTGTAAGAGCAAAAGCGTTGGATTTCTACACAGTATTCCTGAGAAATCAGGCAAATCTCGGTTTCGCCAGGCAACGGTATGGGCGTGGTTTAACTGTTAAACCAAATGTTTTTTTCGTGGTAGGTGGTTCGCTTGGATTAATGCTCGATAACTTAAAAGGTGATATCTGCTTTATTACTCGATAAAAGCAATAAGAAGAGAACTTCCTGCACCTCAAATCTATTGAAAAGGTTAGCAATAAATAGGAATAGCTCCGTCCTCGCTAGTCCTTCTCCAAGGCACTGTCGTTTCCCGATTGAAAATGGTATCAGTTCTTCCACCTTAACAAATTTTTGAGCGCCATTCACTTTTAGTTCTGTTCTTTCTCTGTTACCTTTTTCGATCTTCCATCTTCATCAATAAACCTGGTCGGATCGAAAGTAAGTGGAGAGGGAAATACCTGAAAAACATGGTTTTAAAAAATACAAAATTGAGATTTCATTTTTCAACATCGTTTTATCTTTTGCACATATTCAGTCCGAAACTATTCTTGTGACTGCTCAATTAATATTCTGATCCGCAGCGTAGAAACAAATGGATCCTATGAACGATCATCGTGTCATTCGAATGAGTACCACCCATTAAACAACTTTGGCAATGTGGCGAGGAGATTTCGCTGGCACGTGATCGTATTTACCTGTTCTGTCAAAAGAAGTCCTGTTGATACAGGTCACAAAAGGCTATCTAGAAAAAGGAGACGCAGATGCCAACGCATGATTCCTGGTCGGAAGAAATCCACATGATCTTAGCAATTAAAACCACAACAGATGTACAACTTTGCGACTACCGGGATTACATCTTTCTTCGACATATTTCCTTTGGATAAATACAGAGGATAAATACAGTTTGATTCCAAAGGCATGGCGGTTCAATCCTACCAAGGATCACTCCCATACATATCCCTGAGTAGACAAAAGTGAGGATTAGTGCTTCTAAAACACTCGTTACCACCATGAACATGAAGACTTATGGGTAATGACCAACTTCATTATCATAAAGCACGTTGCTGATCTGTGCGATGACTCCTGTATGCGCTGGAAGACTCCACTTTCCCACTTGTACTGGACATAGAGTCTCATGGGGCAGATTCGTTGGCAGTAAGTTCGCCATACGTTGGATTTCCTTCAAAAATATGTGAAAGTCCACCTTTCAAATAGCTCGCATAAATTAGTTAATGCATTAGCAGCGTTACATATTTAATACAGTTTTTTGCTGGAAAAATTGAGTACCATTCACGTTGATCACCGCATTTGTATACGGGAGATTTCTCCTATCCGACATCGTAATGAGACGGCCAGATCCTAGTTCACGGTCCATTTCCTCGTGTACTTTTCTCTGAAATACCGATGCTAGATTTCCTTTGTTAACCGTGGACATTATCAACTTTTCGTAACATTATATACAAATTCGAGATGATTTCTTTTGATTGAGAATACTAATTGAACAACACATCAGTTTGTTTTGTGGTAGTAATATAGCTGAAAACTCAGCAATTGTTTTGCGCAATTTTCAAATTCGGGAGACCATAATATTTTTGTTCTCTTACTGAATTCATTTACTTAAACATAAATGGATAATATTCCAGAAGACGAAGCTAAAAAAGCTAAAACTATTCCTTATTTTAAGTTTCGATGAAGCTTTTGCTGCTAACAAGTAAGATAACACTTAACTGAACGTCCAAATTACTTAGCAGATAAACTACACCCCATGATAGGGTGTTAGATGTGGTCTCCATTCCAGCGGACCACAGGTCATAGCACATATTTTGCAGCTGTACATTGCTAAAAAGCTTTAAATTACAAAGAAACAGTTTAAGTGGGCCTCGATAAGCAATCAGCTGTGCAAAACTTCGAATTCCGGATGAGACGACCATGCTTACCTGCTTACTTCAATGCTTGATTGGCCCACTTACTAGTAGAGGCTCCGACACATTTTCTATTCGTTTGTTCTTCCCGCAGTCGTCGTCCATGGTGATGATGTACTTCGAAGATGGTGACGTACGCGAGGCACATTCCGAGATCCTGAAATCGTTTCCATCTGTGAATGCAGATGATTGACGTTAGCCACGAACACCTCCGCCCATCGTTTGGCTGTTCGTCCAAGGGGATTGTCTCATTCTTTTGGAGTCCACTCCATTGTTCTTTTCGTACATCTGTCATGTTTCTCTTATTATGTGACTGGTCCATTAGTGCTTCGCAGTCGATCTATTTCCTCTTGGATCTCGAAGATGGGATAGGTTTCGAAGATCTGAGCAGCATATTGGGGCTAGACGTTGTGAGTGCAGGTTAAATTTCAGAACACATCATTTAAGCACTCTGTGGGTGGTGTGCGGAGTTCTTGACGTGGTATCGGTCCACTTCTCTGCGTCTCTGCTGCATAACTGAGCGCTGGAAGGACTGTTGAATCGAGAAGGTCAGCGCGGATTTGCGTGCCCTTTACTTACTTGGTGGGCCCTCTTAGAGGCCCGAACACTGCGCAAGTTACCCTCCTTCTTCTGTCGAATTCTCCCTCCATGATGTTTTCTGTGTTCATTGAACGCCCAAGCTGCAAATACGGGTGATCTCTGTTGTGAGAGAACCACACAGTTCGATTCGTTCAAATTTGCACCATGGGTTCTTCATGGACAGGGTCCTCCTCCTATTTATGCGCAGTACAATCTTTTTTCTCAGTTCGATGAGTCCATTGAGTGAGCATCGCCTCTGCTTCACTGGTACTCCTCGAGAAGATACGATGTCTTCAACAAAGCGAAGACTCGACAAGAGTTTCCCATCAATGTGTATGCTCTTCTTGCTCCGCTCAAGAAACTTCACTGTCTGTGGAAACACGGCCGTGAACTTTTTTGCAGAGCAGTTGTGTTGTGGCGTGTAGAACTCTATATGAATACCATCATCTGTTGTAGCCGCTACCGTTTACATGAGATAACAACGTAGCAAGTGTTTTTAAATATGGCTTATCAGATTATTATGGGAAGGTTTACAGAGGACATTGTCTTAGGAGATGAGTAAGCGATCTGATGCGGTATGAATGGATGGAGAGCATTCCATATTTATGATGAATGTTCTCTATAGGATCTGTCTCTCTCTGTGTCCTTTTCGAATCCCTTTCCTATGGGAATGGTAAGGGATCCATGAGAAAGCTATATTTTTAGTGCTGCCGTTCCGATAAGAGTCAGCCAGCGTTCTTAAATAGATCGGGTCCATTTGCTAGTCAGCAAGAGATGATAGGATTTGTTTCTTTTCTCTCATGCTCTCATGCAATTGTTTGTAGTCAATAAATGTAAGGTTAAAAGGATAAATGGTATCCCGATACACTTCTATGATTCGTGATATGCTTTGGACGTGTTCTATGCAGTAAGATGTCTGCCGAAATTCTGCTTACCCAAGCGGTTGTACACAAAGTCCTTGATGTGCGCATTAGGATAATCTTTGAGGCAGATCGGATAGTAGCTATGAAGACTCGTTTTGTCACCATCCTTCTTGGCAGGGTCACAGTGCGCGACGTCTTCCACTGGTATGGAATTCTCTTCGTGTGAAGATAAGTTGTTATGTGGATTGCGAGGAGTACATGTAATTTATGGCTTTCAGCTGGAAAAAAGTCGATTGTAATGTAGCTGGGTGTTCGAGCCGTGCCTGTTTTAACGCATTCTATTGCAAATCGAACTTCAGTGGATAGAACCTCGGGCGATTTTTCTCCAGTAGGGATTTCGGGTCCGAGGCGGGGCTTGTGGAGCGAAAAGGATTGGTAAAGAACTCCATATCATGACGGGATCTAGTGATGGTCCCATGTCCGCTCAACAGGGCGGATAGCAGAACACCGCAGTTACACAGAATCTGACGTTACTCCTTTAGACTAGATCAGTTTTAACGTGCTTGCAGTGACTTTCGTCCACAAACGTCTAGTTTTCATCGTAAAAAAAGACAAAACCAGGAAATGGCTGGCCATTCTTCTCCAGGAAGTAGTACAGCGATAGAAGAATCAGAGAGTCAATTCATGGAAACGAAGAGTGAATTCGAAAATTTTGCTGATTGTTAAGTTTACCTGAACGATTCAGTGTAGCCGTTTGTCTCACGGCGCCTCTTCTCCTTTAAAAACGCTTCGACGTAGTCATTCGATTCTTCAGCGTCATAGTCGATATGCTTTCGGTGGACATCGATCTGTCGATCGAAGAACGAAAAGACAGCATCGCGGCAGAGAACCACCCTGATAAATCTGTTGATAATCATTGTAGTCATCGAAGATTATTGAAAAATAACTCTTCCTCTTTGTGTATATTCGAAATGGTTCGATGCAACATTGCTAAAGTTTACGTGAATTTAACACCGTTTATTTTCTTTACCTGAGAAAACTGTTTTAAAACAACGCGAGTTGTTGACATCAACTTCTTTCCGAACGTTGCTTATTTTCAACATATAACTCTCGTTCGAAAGCTCACGTGTAAGTGGCTCTATCCTGGCTTGTAAGGATCGGAAGCACTGTTTGTCAACTCGCGTTCTTAACGCATGCTGTAAAACGGTAATCGACGTAGTCAAACATGGCCTTACTCCGGTTATCGTGAGATTAAAACATTAATGGGGAGTCGCGTATACTAAAGACTAGCCATCCGACGCTTAATTTACGAAAGTACGCAAAGAAGCAGTTAAAAATTAGAATGCAGACTGCTAAAAGCATCAAAAATATGCCATCCTCGGAATTCCTCCTTTGAATTCCGTTGTTTTCTTGTTGACAACAAACGGCACCTGGTCGGATTAAGCCAATCTTCTTTATCATTATTCAACCGTTACTATCGTTAGGATCAGTGGAAGTGTAAAGTAAATGATATGGTTATGCTTTCATGAAAACGGTAGCTAGCATTAGCAACTAGTTTTTTGTGTTATTTAAATACTGTTTCTCGTATGATTTTTGGTGGGGTATATAACATGATGGATGAAGGACGGCAGTGTGACCGTCGTCGAACGAATCCAAAAGCATTGCAAGAATACAAGACACTTTACCTAAAATGGACTTGAGGAGAACCTTGCTTGAGAATGTAGTAAACAGTGGGTAGTTATGGAGCGCTTTTATAATAATGTTATTATTCCTAATCGGTGCACAAGAATTCCACTATAAGACGATTCCATCGTCCTTTTGTTGCGCAGTTATTTAAATATTTACATACACCATCTTTAGGTAACGGGAAACGCCTTCTCGGTTAACCCCTTACTAGCGAAAATCAGTGCAAAAATAGCGGTAGTGTTAGATTACTCCGAAGAACATTCGGTTTTGATAAAAGAAAATTCAGAGCTTTTTTTAACCTGTACAATACCATCGAAGGATGACCCCCTATTATGCACCTTGCAGATAGGAATACCTTCTGGCCATCCCAGGTGGTCAACTTTCGAGAACGATATCTCTATTTTACTGATGCCACAATGCTAAATACAGAAATCATCAGCTAAGTTGAGCAAATAAGAGTTTTGGATGAAGCGGCCATCATTAGATAAGCCAACAATATCTAAGTGGGTCAGGAGATAAACACAACCAATCGTCGAAATCGCAATCTTAAACTTTTACTTATTACCTATTATTTTTTCACGGCAGGGTGTTATGTGAAATACAACCAACAATATGTTGTTTTCTTTTTCAGTAATTGCGAGGTTACTACACAGCATGCGTTTACTTCCGTACAAAAACGCATACAACACAGCAGTAGCTGACGTTGCGGCAGCATCGCCTCACCGAAGAAAAACTCGCAATTGCTGAAAAATAAAAGGACACATTCGTAATCTAATGCTGAGGATAATAGAAAGTCGATCTTGGAAAAAACCAACAATCTTTGAGGAAAGGCAACCAGGACCAAAGCAAGCGATGTGCGAAGCTAACGAAGAAACTTCAATAAAGAGCGAGCAGGACGACGAATGCTTCACGCTTAACTATTAGACAATAGATTTTTCCCCTTCTAAAATAAATGTCGTAGCGCTAAACCTTAACGTGAGCGTCATTCAAAACCCTTTGTTAAAAAATGTTTTGCAACCATATCTTTAAGAAATTATCGACTGTGCTTGGTTTTCCACAACTATCAATTTTTTTTATTTGCATTAATTGAAGCCCTGAGGATTCCATTTACTTATAGCAGCCACCTCACGCTATTTCTTCACCATCATTTTTCCGAAATATTTTTTTACTTCACACGATTTAGAATTATGACCTAGAGAAAAATCCTGGAACTTCCAACCAACAGAGAAACGGGTCACAGTGAAAGTGCATTCGGAAAAGCGTAAAGTCGAAATCCTGTTTGTCTAATCAATTCCGTGTTCGAAATACGAGATTTGATGTCAAAAAGCAGGAAAGAAAGCGCTTTAAGAACCTTGAAAGGGTAGCATTTTGTAATAACGAGAAAACTCGGCTTTCGTGTTGCTGTTAAGGGCATTTGGTTTAGTAGATAACTCGAAAAAAACTTTCGACATGAGTTAAGATGTGTTCGTTTAAAAAGAAAGGTCTGAGACGCATACGTTGAAATCAAAAGTCAGGTGGACTTTTCCAAATAGGAGGAAATCGTAAGACCAAAAGAAGAATAGGTTGGCTTTTGCAAGGAGTGAAAATGTCGGTTTTCGTTGGTTCCCCTTCGTTCCCCTTGACAATTAGATAAACTAAAAGACGTCAGTGACCTTTTCTAGCAATGTACTTACTCAGATACCCAGGTAGTATCTGAAGGATAAAGTGCAATCTTCAACACTTTTCCATTTGTTTCCTTATATTCCCATTATAAACGAGTTGGGTTCCTATCTGGCTTCGGTTTCTATTTCACTGTCTGTCATCTCCTCACCTCACTGACGCAGTGAATGCTGGCTGGACATTATTTTCTTTTCTTTTTCTTTTTTGGAGTTCTGAGATAACCAGAATGTTCTGGCTAGGATCGTTTTAGCATAGAAATTATACAAGCAACCGGTAAAGCGCGATGTAATGGGTTGAAACAATTTTCCGCTTTGTTTTAAGACAGATTTTAAAAGAGCAGCAGACCTGTTCCACATTCTGTTGAAATATGGCAGACTCTTCATCCAAGGGTACATAAACAAGATAGCAACCGAAGTGTGTGAAAAGCCTTCCATTTGTCGAGACTTCATCGCTCTTAGTTCACGGAACTCTCCAAGATTGTCCTACAATATTAGAAGTTTCTAAAAATGTACAAGCAACTTTAGTCACCCACTGCGTCGAAACGATAGCCAAACAGCAATTGATTGATCACCGATCCAACCCCAACATCGAAGACGTCCTTAAAATTCCTTGCGTTAAAAAGTTTACAACAAAAATAGCAGTAACCACGAATCATATCAAAAGGACATGATAGAAATAGAGACCTGCATTTCAATTTCTTCCCCTTCCATAGCATGTAACGTCTCGCTCATCGCCTCTACTTCAGCAAGAATCTTAATACGATCATTTCGTATCATACCAATTCACTACACAGCATAGTATCAGACTTTTGGTGTAAAACCGCTTACTCGTCTTTCCATAGTGTTCTTACTGAGACCTAAGCTTTTCAGCACATGGAGGGCAAACCTTCTATGTTCGTGCCACAACTGACCAGTAGTTTCAACAACACCGTACTCGCCTCCTGTAAAGAAAAATCAATAACCATGTTTTCTTTAAGGCTGACGAAAGACACAGTACATTATCTAAAAACAAAAATCGAAGAACAATTGATAAAAAGCTCCGCGTTGATCAATTCACAAGGGAAGCGCCATGCACTCGACTTGAACAAACATCATAGAAGTGTGTGAGTGAATATCTGGCTTATACTGGCGGAGGCCCACGATGTGTCAAGCCACTACTTTTATCCTCCGAGATACATCTGCTGTGAATTAGCCACATGTTTTTTTGAGGTTTTAAAAACATCAGCAATAAAACAATTGAGGTTAAAATGCATGCAATTTAACGTTTCCTACCTAATATATTTGTATAACTATAAACATCTCCCCCCTACTTACCAGGACGAATATAGCGCAGTAGTTAAAGATCGATTCTGTACTAGGGCTCACTAAGCACTCATCCCATCTGGATAAAAGGGTAAAGCTATCGGCGTTGATCAATCCCTGAGAGATGCGTCACGCATTCGAGTTCATTAAGTAACGTTGGAGGTGACTGAATGCATATCTGGCCTTTACAATGACTCGCGGTGGCCTACCGATGTATCAAGCCAGTGCTGCTATCCTCCCAGACAAGTCTAGTACCATTGCCAACCCCGGAGGGATGGAAGGCTTGGTGGGCCATTGGCGCGGGGAACTATTCCACATGTTGCAAGGCGCCTCCAACCACTGCGCCATACGCGCCCTTACTCCATCTGGAGCTGGGAAATTCCTAGCAGGTTGTGGAAAGGTGAAAATTCAGGCAGCTATTCAATGCACCCATTCGCCCTAGTGGTTAATGGAGTCGAAAGTGTAATGCAACCCCAGGAAAGCGCTGTGTACTTTACTCTCCGTGCAAATGACAGCAACGATGGCAGGCGTTGAAGAATTTAGTTTGCTACACTTTCCAGTTATCATTCTACATTTGCTGTTTAAAAGAGTGGTGCTCAATTTACACTTTCTTAGTTTTTCCAAAAAAAATATCCTACCACTTCGAAATATTACAATTCACCATGTCCAAGATCGACCCCAGTTACCTAAAAGCGCAATGGATAACTTACTAGTAAGCTGTTATCGCACGGGTGGGGCATACTCAGCAGTTAATCAAAACCAAAGATGAATCATCTAGCAATGCAATCGCCTTCAGGGGCGAATTTGGTTCCTACATGATGGAGCTGACATGAGGCTGGTACAAACTATTATCCTGTTAACGTCTCGGCGCCTTCGCCATCCTCAGAACTTCGTTGGTCGCAGTCGATGATACACAGCTGGTCGTTGTCGCGATATTGATATTGATATTTCAAAATACTGATTGCCACTTGTACTACCTAATATAGTGCCTAGTGCTGCAGGATGCATTACCCAGCTAAAGTAGATTACGTTGGAGGCCGGAATCGATGAACGCCCGTCCTGTATGAAAGGGCACTGCTGGGTGAAGGAAGTTTCCCATTCAAGCGATACTCCCTCTACTGAATTCAACTTGATGCGACTATGAAAACCCACTTCGCAGCAACGACCAGCTGTAGACCGTCGACTCGACTCAACGCTGCTCTGAAGAAGGCGGAGGCACCAAAACGTTAGCCGAATAAGAATTTATACCAAATTCGCGTCTGCTCAATCATCACGCAGAAATTTATTGATTATTGTTACCGAAGTTTAATGAAGGTCAATTTTTAATATATTTTGTTTTTATCGATTTTCTTCGAGATTTCACAGGACAAGCTAAATCCCTACCCATCTCTTACGAGAATTTAGAGATGGAACACAAACGTATGGGCGTTATCACAGTGAGATTGATGAGTTCGATGAACTATATTGTTAACATTATGGATCTCAGAGTGCAAACCTCTATATTCTTTCATAGCTTGGAATTGAAATGCTCCTGCATATGCTTCTCCATTCTTGATGAACGTATCTTTTATTGCCTTAAAGTCACAAATCATAACGAATGGGTGAGATCCTGAAAAAATCTGAATCGTCAACCGAAACCATTGTCTGTTTTTTCAGCTCCAGACTACTATTCTTGGTTCTAGTTCACTTTCCATGTTTTTTTTTTCTTCCGTTGATCATCTAACTCTAAAAGGATTTCACTATTGTCATTGTGTACTACAGTGGCCCTAGCGCTCACTATAATTTTTAATTTTCTTTTACATAAGACGATATTATTCCCGAGGGTTTACCGCCTCATCGTGGCTAGGAGGTGTTCCTGGCTGTCGGGCTACGATGTGCAGTCGGGAGATTCATCCCCCGACAGGGTCTCCCAAGCTGAGAAGGAGTCCGACGTTTCCATCAGGAAGCCTAGCTAAGAGTGAGCCAATACCAGGATCCACCGCCGTCCTGGTATCAAATTAGTCGCATGGTGGCAATTCTCCCTCTGATCCACAAGTGCGGCGACTACCTGTGGTGGTGAAGACCTGGGGCAGACTTTACTTAGACTAATTTCGGGATTCCAGGAGACCACAATGGCTTAACCAGAAAATCTCCGAAAAATGGAGATTGTGCTGGAGCCCGAACAACCAGTGATGACGGGCCATTCAAGTATCAAGTTCAAGTAAAAGACGATTCCACCTTGAGCTTCATGCAACTGATTCAACAAAATCTGCAGGTTTTTGTTTTAACCCATTGAATTTCTGTTTTTCTTTGCATTAAAATTATTGTTACTAAATATACATACACATATATACTTAGTAAGCCCACTGTTTAACTTTGACTTTTCTTATTTGTCATATTTTACAAGTCTGGGAACAACTTCCCTAATTCGGAGGCATGCGGGCTTAATGTGCTCTGGGCGTGACCGAACCAGAACTTTGATTGTTCTTTAGGCATTACTGTCATTGCGCTACCCACTATTCTGTCTTTATTTTGCTTATCAAAATATTTCATTCATATGACGCGATATCAGATTTTGTGCACATCAATTGTATCTTCAATGCGCTTCATCATATTCATCATCCAGGAAACTCTTCGCCTCCTACTTGAGAATTTTTGCCTTCTTTATGGATGTCGCTGACTCCTCGTCGAGTCAATTCTTGATGGAATCGTGTAATAACCGTGCTAGGGCATTCCGATATCTTTACCACAGGCAGTCACCAGCCACTGTGGATCGTATCCGGATAGGTACGGTCCAAATTGGTGTCCCAATTTTGGATGGATTTAACGCTTAGTTGGCATAATGTATGGCCGAACAAGGACCATATTGTATTATTAGGCCGCTTCCCTATTGCTGCGTCCAACGCGCCTCAATAAAATTTGTAAAGTTTTTTTTTGCGCAAAAAGTGGTAAATGGGCATGAATTGCATGACGAAATGTCGTCACTTTCTATTTATTGTGGACTCCTTTTTAATAGCGAGGTATTATTGTTAAATATATCCACAAAGATTCAAAGACATTTGCAAAGATCAGGGCTGCTGGTGTCTGTGGTGGGAGAACCGAACACGCTATTACCCTTTCCGGGGTAAGGGCTTCACCAGCACGCCATGCCAGTCCATAGTTTCGCCTTTTTCTTAATCGTCTTTTATGTCATTACGATCATGTCTCAAATATACCCTGTCATTAAAAAAAAAGTAACCAGTAAAAGAAACTGACGACCATTTATACTACAGCTTCAACTAAGCAGGGTTCAATACCGATCTGTGCTCCTCAGGTCAATCCCGTTGATGGGTGATTGCTGACAGGAACTATGGGTCAATAACACGGCTGAGAGAAAGGCGAAACGAAAGACTCACATGGTGTGGTGGTCAATGTCTTAGCCCTCGGTAAGGGTATTATCATGTTCGCTCCCATCGTAGAACCAACGGTCCGGAGTCTTGCAAATATCTCAGCATCACTATGGTTATATGACAAAACGTGATAGATGTTTTACCTATCCAGTACGTAAATATCGGACCGTATTGTTTGCGCCACATTTCAAATGCACTGTAGCCCGGTTCATGCCAAAGTAATACGTGAAGGTTGCCGATGAACGGCAGCGGAGTTGGTCCTGAAAGGAAAATTTCTCTCAAAAAAAAAACCTAGCAGCGAAACTCTAGCGATACTTGTTTTTTATCGTGGAACAACTGTCTTTCTGAATTCGTTGAAGCAAATTATTGGTCTTTCATCAAGAAAAGTAGAACATCGTTTTTGTTTCCGGTTTTCAAAATAGCCGTTGTCAAACGAATTATCTGTCAAAGCCTTAGACTTTCTATGGTAACGGCAACACCACCTACCTGGTGGTAAATATCTTCTTTTCCAGTAAAATTCGTAGGTGACGTACAGTATCCCGACTAGTATCAACAATTCAGTAGTCATTCTTGAGTACAGGACGAATCTCTAGAACTTACTAAGTTATTATTCTTTTTCATTTGTTCTCGTTTCTAAGTATGACAATCTCTAAGGGTAAAATTTCGTAAAAACCTATCCAGAAAAACCACTTCATTTTTCGTTAGTTATAATCACGTTTAATCAAAATCCAACCCACTAGCGTGAGCCCAGAACATTAATATTTCAATAATAGTTTCCTAGGAATGTCAATAACTCAATACTTATACATCGTAAACATCGGCTTGTGAGGAATGGTAATCCCGAACATTCTTCAAAACACGGGAAACGACCTAGTTATTGGTCATGAGTATGCAATTCGAAGAGAGAAATGGTGGAAAGCGAAGCAGATCGAAGTCAACAAGGTCACATTTTGTTTGGTGAGCGCTGGCAATCACTGTTTTCATCGACGACGTGAATCTGGATTATTTTATTGATTAAGGTTGCAAAAGTAGGAAATGACAATCCCGTTTTTAACGTTTTCCCGAAGAAATCAATTCGTACGGTTTCTACGTCTTTTTTTGATCTGGAAACTCTTGAAGATTATAAGTTCCCAGGATCGACTTTTTCTTAACCTCGGCATTGGAATATGAATGTGTCGTTTTCTTGTTCAGCAATCGCGAGGTTTTTAAACAGCATACATTTACTTCCATAAAAACACAATACAATACAACGCTAGCTGACGTTTCGGCAGTATCGCCTTCTTCAGAGCCTGGAAGGGTATAGTGATATGCAATCTACTAGGCCAAACGCTTCAATAACACTGACACAAAGACGAAAGGCTCTTTGGTAATTACATGATCAACAACTTCTCGAAAAACTCACCGCTTTTTCGTGACTTCCAATGAGGAAGTTTAGAACAGCTGATTATAGTCGCATGTGGTTGACGACTGCACCATCCCACATCAAAAATCGATGCGAACATACGGGATCAGGTCGCGTATGACCTCCGGGCATTCATCCCTGCTATTCATTGCAGGGTCTTTGGCATCTATCCAAAAAGCCTCAAGGAGTTTTCGCGCTGGTGTTTTGGACTCCTGTGCGAGAATATTGACTTTTACTTCAAAATTGTCTCCGCTATGCTTTTGTATCCTATGCGTGCCTAGTGGGGTGCTTCGTCTTAGTTTTCGTTTGCCATCTAGGTGTTCTTTCATACGGATACACAAAGGTCTGCCCGTTTCGCCAATATATTCATCTCCGCAATTGTTACACGAGATCAGGTATATCGTACCTGAACTCATGCAATCACTGTCCCTGCCGTAAGGGCAAATTACGCAATTTGTTGTCCCACATAGACGGTCATACAGGCGGTTGCGAACTAATTGGCGACGTAGAGTAGCCGGTGGTATTTCAACTATCGCTACCGATTCCTCTAGACTTGCCCTTCTTAAGCATCGTTTTATAGCTACGCTTACTTCCTCGCTCATAAAAGGCAACATGAACGGGACTTTCTTTTGGCCAAGTGTTTCGCGTGGGCGCGTCGTTCTCCTTGTAAACTTATCTCGTGGGGTTATTATTTCGTAGCCATTTGAGATGACTATTTGCCGAGCCAAGTCGCGCGATTCTTCCTTTAGTTCCCTGGTAGTGCTTGCGGCGCAGTGGTCACAGGCGCCGACCAATACACGCATGATCCACCCACGCACTCAAGGTCCTCCAAGCCTCCTATCCCTCCGGGGTTGGTTAACTGGTTCCAGACTTGCCTGGAAGGATAGCAGCTTTGGCTCGATACATCGGTAGACCACCGCGAGTCATTGTAAAGATCAGATATGAATTCAGCACCCACAACGATGCTTGTTAAGGTCGAATGTTTGGTGTATCCCTCAGGGATTGATCAACGCCGAGAGCCTTGTTCTTTTTATCCCTTTTTCATACGATTCCTGTCGCTCTGACGTATGGGTCAGAAACCTAGTCAGGCAGAGATCGATAATATGAGTACCTCGCATAGCTTAATAGAGAAAGAATCCGACCCTCCGAGCTAGGTCAACTGTCAAAGATTGGAAACTGCATTGAGCACGCGAAAATGTCGAAAATCAAGTGGGCTGAACGTGCAATGCGTACAACCGAATGATAATAGCCGTTAGCGACTGGATTGCTCGATATAGTAAAAGCACAACAAGAAGACCATCGACTGAATTCTCAGAGTTCTTCAACAAGACCGTAGAGGAAAAATAGGCTGAGCAGACCCAAATAAACCTATCAAGTAGCGGTTACCTGACGAAGTGGTATCGAAAGCCAAGTAACAAGAACATCCTTGTTCATTTCCTTTCTTCCCACCCTTCACACACAAAGAGGGCGATTGCGAGAAACATGTTTCGAACAGCCACCTCTGTGTGCACTACCACGGAACTAAAGGAAGAATCGCGCGACTTGACTCGGCAAATAGCCATCTCCAATGGCTACGAAATAGTAACCCCACGAGATAAGTTTACAAGGAGAACGACGCGCCCACGCGAAACACTTGTCCAAAAGAACGTCCCGTTTATGTTGCTTTTTATAAGCGATGAAGTAAGCGTAGCTATAAAACGATGCTTAAGAAGGGCAGGTCTAGAGGAATCGGTAGCGATAGTTGAAATACCACCGNCAGAGTTCTTCAACAAGACCGTAGAGGAAAAATAGGCTGAGCAGACCCAAATAAACCTATCAAGTAGCGGTTACCTGACGA